GGGAACTCCTTCAAGGCTGTTGGAAAAGCATTCCAGGTGAAGCTGGTTGAGAGAATGCCAAGAGTGTGCAAAGCTGTCATCAAGGCAAAGGGTGGCTATTTGAAGAATCTCAAATATAAAATATATTTTGATTGTTTAACACTTTTTTAGTTACTACATGATTTCATGTGTGTTATTTCATAGTTTTGATGTATTCACTATTATTCTACAATGTAAAAAATAGTAAAAATGAAGAAAAACCCTTGAATGAGTAGGTGTGTCCAAACTTTTGACTGGTACTGTGTAATTACATATTCACTATTAGCAGTTGATGAATAGTTTTTCAATAGAATTCAACAAAGTACTGTATTGCTGTATATTTAGTGCAGCATACTGTAAATTATGGTGCATTGTGGAAAATTATTGCGGGAGGGGAAATAATAATTGTCTCATTAACATATTTTAAGGCGTGTCCACAGCCGTGGGAACATCTTGCTCTGTTTGGGGGTGGGGGTGCTGCGATTTTTTTGCTGACGGGAAGCCTTTGTTAAGGCCTCTAGAAGTGCAAGTAATATAAAACACGTAGTATTAATTACTATGCTGTAATAAACAAATGCCTAGCAGCCAACCTGCTTGCTCCAATTCCTTGAAATTGCAGTAAAATACTCTAAAAATAACTTTCTTACAGTTTATTTGTCCGTTTTACAGTTTTGTACTGTTTTTCATTGCTTTGGATATTATAGTAATTTACAGGAAGCTGACATCAAGTTACTGTGAATATCTTAGTACTGTATTGGCACTAGTCAGAGATACAGTTGAAGTTGGAAGTTTACATACACTTATGTTGGAGTCATTAAAACTCGTTTTTCAACCACACTTTTGGCAAGTCGGTTAGGAGATCTACTTTGTGCATGACACAAGTAATTTTTCCAACAATTGTTTACAGACAGATTATTTCACTTCTAATTCATTGTATCACAACTCCAGTGGGTCAGAAGTTTACATGCACTAAATTGACTGTGCCTTTAACCTGCTTGGAAAATTCCAGAAAATGATGTCATGCCTTTAGAATCTTCTGATAGGCTAATTCACATCATTTGAGCAATTGGAGGTGTACCTGTGGATATATTTCAAGGCCTACCTTCAAACTCACTGCCTCTTTGCTTGACATCATGGGAAAATCAAAAGAAATCAGCCAAGACCTCAAAAGAAAAATTGTAGACCTCCACAAGTCTGGTTCATCCTTGGGAGCAATTTCCAAATGCCTGAAGGTACCACGTTCATCTGTACAAACAATAGTACTCAAGTATAAACACCATGGGACCGCACAGCCGTCATACCGCTCAGGAAGGAGACGCGTTCTGTCTCCTAGAGATGAACATATTTTGGTGCGAAAAGTGCAAATCAATCCCAGAACAACAGCAAAGGACCTTGTGAAGATACTGGAGGAAACAGGTACAAAAGTATCTATATCCACAGTAAAACAAGTCCTATATCGACATAACCTGAAATGCCGCTCAGCAAGGAAGAAGCCACTGCTCAAAAACCGCCATAAAAAAGCCAGACTACAGTTTGCAACTGCACATGGGGACAAAGATCATACTTTTTGGAGAAATGTCCTCTGGTCTGATGAAACAAAAATAGAACTGTTTGGCCATAATTACCATCGTTATGTTTGGAGGAAAAAGGGGGTGCTTGCAAGCCGAAGAACACCATCCCAACCGTGAAGCACGGGGGTGGCAGCATCATGCTGTGGGGGTGCTTTGCTGCAGGAGGGACTGGTGCACTTCACAAAATAGATGGCATCATGAGGAAGGAAAATTATGTGGATATACTGAAGCAACATCTCAAGATATCAGTCAGGAAGTTAAAGCTTGGTCGCAAATGGGTCTTCCAAATGGACAATAACCCCAAGCATACTTCCAAAGTTGTGGCAAAATGGCTTAAGGACAACAAAGTCAAGGTATTGGAGTGGCCATTACAAAGCCCTGACCTCAATCCTATAGAAAATGTGTGGGCAGAACTGAAAAAGTCTCAAGTGGCGCCAGAGTGGCGCAGTGGTCTAAGGCACTGCATCGCAGTGCTAGCTGTGCCACTAGAGACCCTGGTTCGAATCCAGGCTCTGTTGTAGCCGGCCGCGACCGGGAGACCCATGTGGCGGCGCACAATTCATCCAGGGAAGGGGAGGGAATGGCCGGCAGGGATGTAGCTCAGTTGGTAGAGCATGGTGTTTGCAACGCCAGGGTTGTGGGTTCGATTCTCACGGGGGGCCAGTATGAAAAAAATAAAATAATGTATGCACTAACTGTAAGTCGCTCTGGATAAGAGCGTCTGCTAAATGACTAAAATGTAAAAAAAGCGTGTGCGAGCAAGAAACCTGACTCAGTAACACCAGCATTGTCAGGAGGAATGGGCCAAAACTCACCCAACTTATTGTGTGAAGCTTGTGGAAGCTACCCGAAACGTTTGACCCTAGTTAAACAATTTAAAGGCAATGCTACCAAATACTAATTGAGTGTATGTAAACTTCTGACCCACTGGGAATGTGATGAAATATATAAAAGCTTAAATAAATCATTCTCTCTACTATTATTCTGACATTTCACATTCTTAAAATAAAGTGGTGATCCAAACTGACCTAAGACAGGGAACTTTTACTAGGATTAAATGTCAGGAATTGTGAAAAACTGAGTTTAAATGTATTTGGCTAAGGTGTAAGTAAACTTTCGACTTCAACTGTATATATTCTGAAGACCAGTGTATCCTTAACTACAACATTTTCAGTAATGGTTACAGAAACGTTTTACTTGCTATGACTCTGATGTTTATTTTTTTTACAACCTTGGTTGAAAGCACCGACTGTAAGCACCGACTTTCTAAGGACAAGAGTGCCCGCTAAATGACCAAAATGTAAAGGTAAATGTAAAAATGAAAACTTGCAAAAAACACTGGGTAATATGTCACTGGGTAATTACAGTAATATGCTGTAATTGTAATTGGTACTGTAAATTATATTTCTTAACTGACTTGGTACTGTAAATTCGATTACAGTAATATTTGTGGTACCATAAAATTGATTACAGTAGCTCTTCTGTACAATGAATTACAGTAACTTACTGGCCAATTGCTGCCAGTATGTTACTGTACATTTTACAGGAAATGTTTTACAGTGCATAATATGATAACAACCTAACAAATGAAACTGAATATGGTGTGCATTAGGCTAGTTCGAATATACAGTAAGTATTTATAATGTATAATGCATCCATATAGTTTATAGGTCTTCTTAGCCAACAAATCACCTATGATGTGGACAGATGTTCTGGTGTTGCACAAGATTTAAGTCTAATATTATGTAGGCTGCACCAGATATGTATTTTTGTAATGGAAAATAGGCCACATGACTGAGGAGGCAGGTGCAGTGCAAACATCAGAAACTATACTTGTACAAACAACTTTTTTAGTTTGTAAAATGGGCTGTGATATTTGTAATTTCACTCACTGCACCAATCAGTGAATATTTAACCGAATGTACATTTCTACAGATGTAGGTTCTTAATTTGAGCCAGTTTGCTTCAGCAGGAAAATAATACTGGATTATAATTAATGGATTTATTTTGTAGGGGTTGAAACGTTTTTTTTTAGGCAAATAAAGTCTGACATTTTAAAGTGGGTTTTACAAACTTTAGAAGCCTTTTTAAACCAAATACGCTACACTTTTGCATTTCCTGCTATGCAGGAAAATTCTCAGCAACTAAAGAGTGATCAAATTAAGATCCTACATCTGTAAATAGTTGTTTGTACCTTGATCTGACTGTTCTTTGCATATCAATGAAATTAGATTACGCATATTTATGTTACTCTATTATAATGCAGGCTACTTTTGTCTTTTAAAAAATACATGACATAAAAGTATGTTAAACTATCCATTCCGGGCTGAGTATGGTAAGAAAACCATTACAGTCAATACAATATGACAAGAATGCTAATATATGTTTATTACATGAATAAGTGTGCAGTTTGTAAATGTAGTTGTCATGTTGTATTCTGAAAATGTTGATGTGTGAGTAGTATACCATGTACATACTGTATACCAGCCTATATTCAATTCCATTGCATTGCATGTTCTTTAAAATAAATAAATAAACAAACAAGACATTGTTTGATATATAAATGTAGTTTCCATATAGAATATATCGATATTGATAGCATATCTCAGGTAAACAGATAAGCTGGTTGAGTTTGTTACAGTCAAAACAGAAGGTAGGGCTGTTTTTAAGCACAAGAGAGCCCAGCAAGAGGTTATGTAATGTGTTCTCAGACAATGATGTCATTGATTGAGACACAGCAAGGATTTAAAGTGACAAAGGCGTTTTAAAAAACCCGTTGCAATTCTGCGTTAGGCCTGATCAGAGAAGAGTTAACCAGAGGGAGTAGGAATCTAGAGGACCAGTGTTGAGGGAAAGAAAGTGCTATTGATGAAACGGGAGCAAATATACATGCATTACTCCCACATGTCATATATATTCCTAATTTTATAATAATAGTCTCAATGCAAAATATGGTAATGCCAGACATGTTTATTAATTAAGACATTTGAGATACAAAACACAAGCACCATTCATGTTATACAGTGAGAATAACAATAAGTGATTGGTGAACAATGAACCCCCATCCAACTGTGATACGCGTGTATTTGCTCAGTGTTAGATATGTAAACTGGGTGGAATGACTGTGTAACCTTGGACTTTTGACATGTAGATTAGTTTATTGCCTTAAATTGTATTCATACTACATACGATCACAATATATACGTATATACAGATTTTATGGTGAATTCCATGTATGTTATTTTCTGTTGGTAGCATATCCTGATCATAGATTTATTTTATGTTCATCGATTTTTCCAGGATATGACATAAAAAATAACTTTCGATACTTTACCCCCCCATCCTCCTCACTACTCCAGTCTCTATTGTACTACATATTTTTTGTCATTCTCCATTTTTGTGATCCCTCTATAAACTTGTCCGCAGTACTGTTACTCTCCCTCTTCCAAACGAGGCACTTCGATCCGCGCTTTCACCCTCGTATAGGCCTAAAGAATTGGTTTTGGATAGGCTACCTCTTTTTTGGACCGCCTCTTCCCTCTCTCCACCTAAACTGCTATTGCCCACTTTCAACACTGCAGTTCCCTCCTGTTCTACCTTCATATCTACTGTCTCAACTATTCCACAATTTCCTTCTCCTGTTTTCGACTTTCCACATGTATCCATAGAGGGAGCCTGTTCTGATTCAGGATTACCCGACGATTCGGGATTAGGTTTTCTCGATTCCTGACTTTTCTTCATTTTCCATTGACTCTCTTGACTGGGTTCCTCCGTTGCTTTGGACAAGGCGTCATTGTCCGGTATCTCTTCATAGATGCATAGGTCATGTGCTGGTTTGGTTGAGGCACATGATGTTTGATTACCAGATAGTGTTAGTTGTGCGTTCAGGTCCATAGATGTTGAGTCTTGCTGCTCATTGGTTGTAGTGATGTCTCCGCTATTGTCTGTGGCTGTATCATGACTTGTGGAGGATTCTGAAGGGTGGCAACCTTCAATTTGTTGGTCTGTTGGTCTTACCACACTATAGGTCACTTCATCTGCTCTTGAAATCTCACTGGTTGCCCCCTCCATCTTTTCTTCCTGATCGGAAACTGATTGTCCATCAGTCATTGTAATGTCCGTGTCTGATAGATTGATGTCACTTGTGATTCTATAGAAGAGGGAATGATTCTCCAACATTTTCTCTAAACTTTCACTGATAGAAAATGTGGCGCCATTGGAATCAGTTCCTGCATCATGAGATGTTGGATCATTGTCCAAATTCAAGGTTTCCTCATGGCATAATGACTCTATTCCGTGGTCTTGTAAAGGTATGAATTCTCGCCACTGATTGGTTGAGAGGAACCATTCTGCTCTCTGATTGGTGGACAGAGAACTGCTTTCACCATGATCGATTGAGAGTTCCTCTTGTTCTTCCTCCTCGCACCTCCTCTTGAATCGCTGGCCTCCATCGGTCTGGTATACAGTCATCGAGGATATCTGTTTGGAGGAAGTGGATGGTTTCTTTTCTTTTTTATGTTTCATGATACCCTTTCTGTCACTGTGACCATTGTGTTGTGTTTTGTTCCCAATATGACCCTCATGGCCTTTCGTATGTCCCTTTCCCTCATCTGCATAAAGTAGTGTCTCTCCAGGGGTGGGAGGTTCTACTGTTCTGTACCTACGAAGAACAGCTCCGTCACAACGGCACCAGCCTCCGCACACATCCTCATAAGGTCCAGAAACTGAAAAGTACAGAAAGTTCTGGAATTGGTGTGATTCTCTGAATGTAGTACAGTGTAGACTGTATATTAATGAGAGTAATGTAGCAGAAAGGACAAACTTTCAGCATACATTTCTAAAAATAATTGATTGTTTGTACCTAAGCATTATGGCTAAATGAGTACCTGACATCTCCCTGCTATTTCTGGCCTTGTCATAGGTCTGTGTAGAAGGGGTGTTGTGGAGCTCCTGTTTCACCCCCCTGGTCAGTGGACGGCCGGGCGCCACGGCACTCTCTCTGACTGCACTGAGAGAGAGAGAGAGCGAGAGAGCGAGAGAGAGACATAGGGAGGCAGAGCAGAAAGAGGAGGTGGAAGGAAAGCCCTGAGATTAAAGCTAGATTTGTAGATGCATGCAAACTCATAAGAAAAACACATGACAAGAACATACTCTACCAATCAAAAGTTTGGACACACCTACTCATTCAAGGGTTTTTATTTATTTTTACTATTTTTTACATTGTAGAATAATAGTGAAGACATCAAAACTATGAAATAACACATATGGAATCATGTAGTAACCCAAAAAGTGTTAAACAAATCAAAATATATTTTATATATTTGAGATTCTTCAAATAGCCACTCTTTGCCTTGATGACAGCTTTGCAGACTCTTGGCATTCTCTCAACCAGCTTCATGAGGTAGTCACCTGGAATGCATTTCAATTAACAGGTGTGCCTTTTTAAAACTTAATTTATGGAATTTCTTTCCTTCTTAATGCATTTGAGCCAATCAGTTGTGTTGTGACAAGGTATTGGTGGTATACAGAAGATAGCCCTATTTGGTAAAAGACCAAGTCCATATTATGGCAAGAACAGCTCAAATAAGCAAAGAGAAACTACAGTCCATCATTACTTTAAGACATGAAGGTCATTTAATACGGAAACTTTCAAGAACTTTGAAAGTTTCTTCAAGTGCAGTCGCAAAAACCATCAAGCTCTATGATGAAACTGGCTCTCATGAGGACCGCCACAGGAATGGAAGAACCAGAGTTACCTCTGCTGCAGAGGATAGGTTCATTAGAGTCACCAGCCTCAGAAATTGCAGCCCAAATAAACGCTTCACAGAGTTCAAGTTACAGACACATCTCAACATCAACTGTTCAGAGGGGACTGTGTGAATCAGGCCTTCATGGTCGAATTGCTGCAAATAAACCACTTCTAAAGGACACCAATAAGAAGAAGAGACTTGCTTGGGCCAAGAAACACGAGCAATGGACATTAGAACGGTGGAAATGTGTCCTTTGGTCTGGAGTCCAAATTTGAGATTTTTGGTTACAACTGCCTTTTCTTTGTGAGACGCTGTGTGGGTGAACGGATGATCTCCGCATGTGTAGTTCCCACTGAAAGCATGGAGGAGGAGGTGTTATGGTGTGGCGGTGCTTTGCTGGTGACACTGTCTGTGATTTATTTAGGCACACTTAACCAGCATGGCTACCACAGAATTCTGCAGCAATACGCCATCCCATCTAGTTTGGGCTTAGTGGGACTATCATTTGTTTTTCAACAGGACAATGACCCAACACACCACCAGGCTGTGTAAGGACTATTTTACCAAGAAGGAGAGTGATGGAGTGCTGCATCAGATGACCTGGCCTCCACAATCACCCGACCTCAACCCAATTGAGATGGTTTGGGATGAGTCGGACATGAAGGAAAAGTGAAGGAAAAGCAGCCAACAAGTGCTCAGCATATGTGGGAACTCCTTCAAGACTGTTGGAAAAGCATTCCAGGTGAAGAAAATAAAAACCCTTGAATGAGTAGGTGTGTCCAAACTTCTGACTGGTACTGTATGGCAACACAGAGACAGGTCTATGGACATGGGAGTTAGAGTAATTTATATCCCTTCTAATAATTGTCTCTCTACATAGTGAAACATACTGAGCTGTCACAGAAGAGATTCATCATGACCCAGCTTTCTGACTGATAAACACACACAGACACACACACACACACACACACCTCTGGATGACTCTCTCCCTGATCCTCTCTACACGTCTCTGCTTGGCCTCTCTCTGCTCAGGGGTGAGGCAAAGATCAGGGTCCGGGGCAGAGGTTAGGAGAGTAGCACATCCCTCAACCTGTAACATGAAAGCCACAATCCTGAGTCTGTGTTTCATGAGGCATTCATAAGTTGTATTCTTTAGGAATCAATGGATGAATATCATTACTCGAAATGGCAGTTGAACAGAAGGACATCTACCAGATTGTGACTTTGAGATATGTGGCATGCTTATCCGTACAAGAGTAAAAGCCCAGGTAAAACTGTGATAAGACCTAACATGTTTCAGTTGATTGGCGATCAGTAGCTAATTAGCTTGTAAAAAGCCTTTATTAGAATATGATTTAAAACTGAAATAAGAGATGAGATTAAATGAACTATACTGAACAACAAGTCCACATCAACCATCTTACCTTCTGTTCCTCCTTATGACCTCCTCCCAACACTTTTCTTGTAGAGTCATGACCCCCATCCTCCTCTCTTACCCGGGGAACAGAGGCCACACCACCATTTCCCACAACGGCCCAGTCACAACTCTGATGGAGCTTCAGGGCCTCCGCAGCAGTCTCCGCCTCTGTCCAGGAGTCGTCTCTGGAGGACTTGGTGGTGACATTGTGGCTCTTCTGGGCCCTGGTTGCATTGAGCCCATTGGAGTTTTGCTCCTGCCTCTCTGAATCTAGCTCCTGTAGAGCCTTAGCCAACCGTTGGGCTGGCAGCTGCTCCTGGCTCATCTCAAGAAGTGGTTCCTCCACAGAAACGCGTTGGGCAATCAGAGAGGACGGTAAGATGGCTTTGACGACTCTCGTCACCCTCACAGCAAAGTGGGCCTGAAGAAAAAAAAAGAGATTTTCCCTGAGTGACTCATTCACATGTATAGGCCTGCATGTATGCATATGCAAGTAACTGCCAAAATAAAGGAAACAATTGAGTAAATGAGGGCTACAAAGTATAATGAAAGCAAGCGCTTCCACACAGGTGTGGTTACTGAGTTAATTAAGCAATTAACATCCCATCATGCTTAGGGTCATGAATAAAAATGCCCAGTTGCCCATTATTTTGGCTACCATGGCTAGAAGAAGAGATCTCAGTGACTTTGAAAGAGAGGTCTCAAAGGAGCATAGGGTGTTTAAAGTGTGTGTGTGTGTGTGTGTGTGTGTGTGTGTCTGTCAGTCAGTCAGTCTGTCTGTCTGTCTGTCTGTCTGTCTGTCTGTCTCAGTCACCAGATCTCAACCCAATTGACCACTTATGGGAGATTCTGGAGCGGCACCTGAGAGATAGTGTTTTCCACCACCATCAACAAAACACCAACTGATGGAATTTCGTGTGGAAGAATGATGTCGCATCCCTCCAATAGAGTTCCAAACAATTGTAGAACCTATTCCAAGGCACATTGAAGCTGTTCTGGCAGCTCGTGGAGGCCCAACGCCCTATTAAGACCCTTTATGTTGGTGTTTCCTTTATTTTGGCAGTTACCTATACGTACATATATGTGTGCATATACAGTACAGTATGTATATATTCATACAATGTTGGATCATATACTAATATACATATGGAAATCCATTACACACTCATCCTCATAGAACCAACCTCTTCTTTCGGATCTGAACTTTGACACTGGGTTTGGGTCGTGAGATCGGGAATTGGCGGTTTCCTCCGACTGGCTAGCCTTTCCTGATGTCTCCTCATCCTCTCTATCTGCTCCTCTTCACTCATCCTCCCCTTCTGAGGAAAAGGTGATGCTTTAGTACAACGTGTATGACTCCAATGCATAGAATGAATGGAAGTCATAGATGTCGTGTGTGAAAAAACAGACTGGTAGCAGGAAAGCTTGAGAATGCCAAGAGCAGTAATAGTGCCAATAGAACATCTACGATATTGTGTGTGTGTGTGTGCGCGTTTGGTTTTACTCTCCTTGTGGGGACCATAAGTCCTCATAAGGATAGTAAAACAAGGAACATTTGGATAAGTGGGGACATTTTGCTCGTCCCCACAAGGAAAAAGGCTGTTTTAGGCTTAGGGGGTTGGTTTAGGGTTACATTTAGGGTTAGGGTTAGAATTAGGGTTAGGGGTTAGGTTTAGGGTTAGGGTTAGGTTTCAGCTCAGGTTCAGGGTTAGAGTTAGGGGTTAAGGGTTAGGTTTAGGCTCAGGTTTAGGGTTAAGATTAGGTTTAGGTTTAGGGGTTAGGGAAAATAGGATTCTGAATGGGAATCAAGTGTTTGGTCCCCACAAGTATAGTAAAACAAACATGTGTGTGTGTGTGAGAGTGAGAGAGAGAGAGAGAGAGAGAGAGAGAGAGAGAGAGAGAGAGAGAGAGAGAGAGAGAGAGAGAGAGAGAGAGAGAGAGAGAGAGAGAGAGAGAGAGAGAGAGAGAGAGAGAGAGAGAGAGAGAGAGAGAGAGAGAGAGAGAATTTCTTGACACATAGGAAATAATTAACCAAAAATAGAGCAAACTGGAATTCTATTTAGCCCTAAACAGAGAGTACACAGTGGCAGAATACCTGACCAGAGTGACTGACCCAAAATTAAGGACAGCTTTGACTATGTACAGACTCAGTGAGCATAGCCTTGCTATTGAGAGAGGCCACCGTAGGCAGACCTGGCTCTCAAGAGAAGACAGGTTATGTGCACACTGCCCACAAAATGAGGTGGAAACTGAGCTACACTTAGAGGCACATACAGTATTTCCCTCAGATTATACAGACCCACAAAGATTTGAAAACAAATCAAATGTTGATAAACTCCCATATCTATTAGGTGACATACCACAGTGTGCCATCACAGCAGCAAGATGTGTGACCTGTTGCCACAAGGAAAGGGCAACCAGTGAAGAACAAACACCATTGTAAATACAACCCATATTTGTGTTTATTTATTTTCCCTTTTGTACTTTAACTATTTGCACATCGTTATAGCACTGTACATAGCCATAATATGAAATGCCTCTATTCCTTTGAAACATTTGTTGTAGTTTGTTGTAAACAGTAATGTTTACTGTTCATTTTTGATAGTTTATTTCACTTTTGTTTATTATCTATTTCACTTGATTTGGCAATGTAAACATACGTTTCCCATACCAATAAAGCCCTTTGAATTGAATTGAATTGAATTGAGAGAGAGAAAAAGGGAGAAGAGGTTGGGTGTAAATACAGCGAGAACCACAGAGCTATGTGTCTCTGTTTCCCTCTGTTGACTGTCAGAGATATTGAAACACGCCCTAATTGTAAGGAATCAGATGAGAATCAAAACATTTGAATTTGGCTTTGATTGAAAGAAAATATCATTTAAAAAAAATCTGTCAGTTATTTGTATTCTATCAAGTGATTTACATTTTAACAAGGTGCAGATGGTGGAGACGTAGATGAATTAGACAATTGTACCTTATTTGTGGGATCTGGTATGGACCATCTTGAACTAGACTGAGATTCTGTGGATGACAGATATAGAGCGAGAGAAGGAAAATGAGTGTATAAGAAAGAGCAATTGATAACGTGACGAAAACCTGACAAGGACAATACAGTACAGTGTAACACCATCAGAAGGAACGTTTGCTATAGTTATACCATACCGGTATTTCCTCAACTCTGGAAATCGATGATCCATAGGTGGTTAATGTACATGATCGTCATAGACATAGTCAAAAACTCCATATCATACTAGCTACCTGATGTCTCTCTCTGTGTTCTGTCACCGTGGGTATCAGACTGTCTGTTTCCTCTTCTGTCCAGTGGATATACTGGGTCACTGTAGATGCCCTGGAGGACATACAGCACATACACAGAGATCATGGATGCAACAGAGATATTTACTGTGTCATTGTTGAGGATTCAAAGTGGTATTATCAGCATGGTTGCGTCTTGATTCTCTACCCTTCTCCCAAAGTGTGCGCTTGCACACTACCTGTCATGGATTTGAAAACATTGCATTGGTGTAAGCATTGGCTGGAGGGAGTTTCCACTATTGCTAAATCAATTATAGGGAGTGAAAGTGCACGCTTTGAGAAAAGGGTAGAGAATCAGAATGTAACCTACTGTGTCTCTCAATACTCACCTCATAGTTCGGATCTATCCACACATGCCCCTGGTCTCTTCCCTGATTGGTGTCTTGGAGCTCCTGAGGTAAAGGGGGGCGGGTCGGAGGCTCTGATTCAACTCCCTAACAAAATCATACCCATTATTAACCAATCAATGCTTATTGGTTCATTACACCGAACAGCACCCTTATAAGAACATTGTCTTACAGTGAGGGAAAAAAGTATTTAATCTCCTGCTGATTTTGTATGTTTGCCCACTGACAAAGAAATGATCAGTCTATAATTTTATTGGTAGGTTTAATTGAACAGTGAGAGACAGAATAACAACAAAAAAATCTAGAAAAACGCATGTCAGAAATGTTATAAATTGATTTGCATTTTATTGAGGGAAATAAGTATTTGACCCCCTCTCAATCAGAAAGATTTCTGGCTCCCAGGTGTCTTTTATACAGGTAACGAGCTGAGATTAGGAGCACACTCTTAAAGGGAGTTCTCCTAATCTCAGTTTGTTACCTGTATAAAAGACACCTGTCCACAGAAGCAATCAATCAATCAGATTCCAAACTTTCCACCATGGCCAAGACCAAAGAGCTCTCCAAGGATGTCAGGGTCAAGATTGTAGACCTACACAAGGCTGGAATGGGCTACAAGACCATCGCCAAGCAGCTTGGTGAGAAGGTGACAACAGTTGGTGCGATTATTCGCAAATGGAAGAAACACAAAAGAACTGTCAATCTCCCTTGGCCTGTGGCTCCATGCAAGATCTCACCTCGTGGAGTTGCAACGGTGAGGAATCAGCCCAGAACTACACGGGAGGATCTTGTCAATTATCTCAAGGCAGCTGGGACCATAGTCACCAAGAAAACAATTGGTAACACACTACGCCGTGAAGGACTGAAATCCTGCAGCGCCCGCAAGGTCCCCCTGCTCAAGAAAGCACATATACAGGGCCGTCTGAAGTTTGCCAATGAACATCTGAATGATTCAGAGGAGAACTGCGTGAAAGTGTTGTGGTCAGATGAGACCAAAATTGAGCTCTTTGGCATCAACTCAACTCGCCATGTTTGGAGGAGGAGGAATGCTGCCTATGACCCCAAGAACACCATCCCCGCCGTCAAATATGGAGGTGGAAACTTTATGCTTTGGAGGTGTTTTTCTGCTAAGGGGACAGGACAACTTCACCGCATCAAAGGGACGATGGACAGGGCCATGTACCATCAAATCTTGGGTGAGAACCTCCTTCCCTCAGCCAGGGCATTGAAAATGGGTCGTGGATGGGTATTCCAGCATGACAATGACCCAAAACACACGGCCAAGGCAACAAAGGAGTGGCTCAAGAAGAAGCACATTAAGGTCCTGGAGTGGTCTCCAGACCTTAATCCCATAGAAAATCTGTGGAGGGAGCTGAAGGTTCGAGTTGCCAAAAGTCAGCCTCAAAACCTTAATGACTTGGAGAAGATCTGGAAAGAGGAGTGGGACAAAATCCCTCCTGAGATGTGTGCAAACCTCGTGATTGCCAACAAGGGTTTTTCCACCAAGTACTAAGTCATGTTTAGCAGAGGGTTCAAATACTTATTTCCCTCATTAAAATGGAAATCAATTTATAACATTTTTGACATGCGTCTTTCAGGATTATTTTGTTGTTATTCTGTCTCTCACTGTTGAAATAAACCTACCATTAAAAGTATAGACTGATCATGTCTTTGTCAGTGGGCAAATGTACAAAATCAGCAGGGGATCAAAAACTTTTTTCCCTCACTCTATATGCCTTTTCCAATATCTCTTTGGATATATGACAGCATGCAGGGAACCCACTCTGAATTCGTATGATTCCACAGCACTATGGTAACCTACTAGGTCACTGGTATTGGTAGTCATACCATTGGCAATCCACTCGGCATCCTCTCTGTTGAAGATCCAGGTGTCCCCGGGTGGGAGGATGACTTCTGGAATACTCCTTTGGGAGCTTAGAAAAGACACACAAGTGAAGAGAATAAGTTGCTACAAGAGCCATACTGTATACTGTATCTCTCTATATATCTGCCTCTGGTTGCTCCCTTTCTCAATGTGGGCAATCCATATTAATTCCTAAGCCTAAGCAATATGAGCAAATGATCAGACAAAGTATGAGTGTTTCCGACAGTTACCTGTGTGCCTCTGCAAGCCCAGCAGGACTCGGAAGTGATCCCTGTTTACCCTGAGTCCAGAGAGGATGTCCTCCATCATCCACAGCTCTCTCTGGGCCTGGGACTGCTCCTGAGGAGGGACGGAGGACAGGGGATGGGGGACGGAGGACGGGGGACAGGGGACAGGGGGTCATTTAAAGGCCAAATCACAAAACAGGTCTTTCAGTTGATTTGGTCATTCAACTTTGAACATGGCAAGCTTGCCCCTATCTATTTTATTTCCAACTGAGCTCAAGTTAGCAGTGGCTTTTGAAACAAAACAAAACCGTGGATGACAGTCTCTCCTGGTCCCATAGATTTCCCATAGGTTTATGGAAAAATGGAAGTCTATCAAAGTGAAGATATGCTTTAACATTTTATTTGGTCCCCCCAAACACCCATTGAAACACCTAAGCCCTGGAACAACATTTAGGCTAGTTTCATACCCTCAGCATATTATCAGATAGTGTGCTCAGAACAGGAGCTACACAGTCCTTTATCTAAAGGAGGAGTTCTTGGCTGATTCATGTGATTTAGACTGCATTTTGTGATGACATTGATCTATCAGGTTTGACAAGCACCTTTATTAGGGCTTTGATTGATAACCATGTTTTAGGGATGGTGAGAGCCAGAGGCAGATGTGGCAGACCTTTACAATGCTGAAGTGTTTTCTGTATTATATTATTACCCTATTAACGCGTACTGTGCAGTGCCTTCAGAAAGTATTCACGCCCCCTTGACTTTTTCCACATTTTTTTGTGTTACAGCCTGAATTTAAAATGGATTAAATTGAGATTTGGTGTCACTGGCCTACACACAATTTCCCATAATGTCAAAGTGGAACTATATTTTTAGAAATTTTTACAAATTAATAAAAAATAAAAACCAGAAATGTCTTGAGTCAATAAATATTCAACCCCCTTTGTTATGGCAAGACTAGATAATTATGAGGTATTGTGTGTAGATGGGTGAGAAAAATATATATTTAATCAATTTTGAATTCAGGCTCTAACACAACAAAATGTGGAATAAGTTGAGGGGTATGAATCTTTTCTGAAGGCACTGTATTTGTTTTAAGATATTGATCACAGTATTTTATTACATTTTTTGGGACAAGTGGGGGTATCGTAAACAATGTGTAAAAATGATTTTGAATCTGGCCTTATAAAGATATAAGGTATATAAGGTAATGCCAAATTTCAGTCTGAATGAAGTATGCTTTCAAGTGATTGAAATGCATCTGACTGGTATTGGAAAGTTCAGGAAAGCAGAAGGAAGATAATCAGGCAATCATTGTGTATTTCATATTTCTTAGAACAGAAGATCAATACATTTCCCCCAATCATTCTGTGCAGTTTTACCACAGTCCCTACTAACGAGTTCTGTGTGACTTCTGAGCGTTGCAGAGGGAAACAGAAGAAACATACTGTATATATGTTCCTGAGATTCATCAAATAAAATAAAATAAAATTGTATTTGTCACATGCGCCGAATACAACAGTGGAATGCTTACTTACAAGCCCTTAACCAACAATGTAGTTTTAAGAAAAATAAGTGTTGAGTAAAAATAGATAAAAAATTAAAAACATAAAATAAATATTGTAAATAAATATATATATATATATATATAAATAATAATAATAATTAAGAACAGAAGTAAAATAATAGTAGCGAGGCTATGTACAGGGGGTACCAGTACAGAGTCAATGTGCGGGGGCACAGGTTAGTCGAGGTAATTGAGGTAATATGTACATGTAGGTAGAGTTAAAGTGACTATGCATAGATAATAAACAGAGAGTGGCAGCAGCGTAAAAGAGGGGGTGGGTGGGGTGGGGTCGTTGGGGGGGGGGGAGGGGGCAAGGCAAATAGTCTGGGTAGCCATGATTAGCTGTGCAGGAGTCTTATGGCTTGAGGGTAGAAGCTATGAAGAAGCCTTTTGGACCTAGACTGGGCGCTCCGGTACCACTTGCCGTGCGGTAGTAGAGAACAGTCTATGACTAGGGTGACTGGAGTCTTTGACAATTGTTAGGGCCTTCCTCTGACACCGCCTGGTATAGAGGTCCTGGATGGCAGGAGGCTTGGCCCCAGTGATGTACTGGGCCATACGCACTACCCTCTGTAGTGCCTTGCGGTCGGAGGCGGAGCAGTTGCCATACCAGGCAGTGATGCAACCAGTCAGGATGCTCTCGATGGTGCAGCTGTATAACTTTTTAAGGATCTGAGGACCCATGCCAAATCTTTTCAGTCTCCTGAGGGGGAATAGGCTTTGTCGTGCCCTCTTCACGACTGTCTTGGTGTGTTTGGACCATGATAGTTTGTTGGTGATGTGGACACCAAAGAACTTGAAGCTCTCAACCTGTTCCACTACAGCCCTGTCGATGAGAATGGGGGCGTGCTCAGTCCTCTTTTTTTCCCTGTAGTCCACAATCATCTCCTTTGTCTTGATAACGTTGAGGGAGAGGTTGTTATCCTGGCAACACACGGCCAGGTCTCTGACCTCCTCTCTATAGGCTGTCTCATCATTGTCAGTGATCAGGCCTACCACTGTTGTGTCGTCGGCAAACTTAAAGATGGTGTTGGAGTCGTGCCTGGCCATGCAGTCATGGGTGAACAGGGAGTACAGGAGGTGACTGAGAAAGCACCCCTGAGGGGCCCTCATGTTGGCAGATGTGTTATTACCGACCCTTACCACCTGGGGGGCGGCTTGTCAGGAAGTCCAGGATCCAGTTGCAGAGGGAGGTGTTTAGTCCCAGAGTCCTTAGCTTAGTGATGAACTTTGAGGGCACTATGGTGTTGAACGCTGAGCTGTAGTCAATGAATAGCATTCTCACGTAGGTGTTCCTTTTGTCCAGGTGGGAAAGGGCAGTGTGGAGTGCAATAAAGATTGCATCATCTGTGGATCTGTTGGGGCAGTATGCAAATTGGAGTGGGGTTTCTAGGGTTTCTGGGACAATGGTGTTGATTTGAGCCATGACCAGCCTTTCAAAGCACTTCATGGCTACAGGCGTGAGTGCTACAGGTTTGGAGTCATTTAAGCAGGTTATCTTAGTGTTATTGGGCACAGGGACTATGGTGGTCTGCTTGAAACATGTTGGTATTACAGACTCAGTCCGGGACAGGTTGAAAATGTCAATGAAGACACTTGCAAGTTGGTCAGTGCATGCTCGGAGTACACGTCCTGGTAATCCATCTGGTCCTACGGCCTTGTGAATGTTGACCTGTTTAAAGGTCTTACTCACATTGGCTATGGAGAGCGTGATAACACAGTCGTCCGGAACAGCTGATGCTCTCATGCATGCTTCAGTGTTGCTTGCCTCGAAGCGAGCATAGAAGTAATTTAGCTCGTCTGGTAGGCTCATGTCACTGGGCAGCTCACGGCTGTGCTTCCCTTTGTAGTCTGTAATAGTTTGTAAGCCCTGCCACATTCGTCGAGCATCGGAGCCGGTGTAGTACGATTCAATCTTAGTCCTGTATTGACGCTTTGCCTGTTTGATGGTTCGTCGGAGGGCATAACGGGATTTCTTAAATGCTTCCGAGTTAGAGTCCCGCTCCTTGAAAGTGGCAGCTCTACCCTTTAGCTCAGTGTGGATGTTGCCTGTAATCCATGGCTTCTGGTTGGGGTATGTACACACGGTCACTGTGGGGACGACGTCATCGATGCACTTATTGATGAAGCCGTGACTGATGTGGTGTACTCCTCAATGCCATCGGAAGAATCCTTGAACATATTCCAGTCTGTGCTGGCAAAACAGTCCTGTAGCTTAGCATCTGCATTATCTGACCACTTCTTTATTGACCGAGTCACTGGTGCTTCCTGCTTTAGTTTTTGCTTGTAAGCTGGGATCAGGAGGATATACTTATGGTCAGATTTGCCAAATGGAGGGCGAGGGAGAGCTTTGTACGCGTCTCTGTGTGTGGAGTAAATGTGGCTAGAGTTTTATTTTCTCTGGTTGCACATTTAACATGCGGTAGAAATGAGGTAAAATGGATGTAAGTTTCCCTGCATTAAAGTCCCCGGCCACTAGGAGCGCTGCCTCTGGATGAGCGTTTTCCTGTTTGCTTATGGCCTTATACAGCTCTTTGAGTGTCGTCTTACTGCCAGCATCGGTTTGTGGTGATAAATAGACAGCTACGAAAAATATTGATGAAAACTCTCTTGGTAAATAGTGTGGTCTACAGCTTATCATGAGATACTCTACCTCAGGCGAGCAAAACCTCGAGACTTCCTTAATATTAGATTTCGTACACCAGCTGTTGTTTACAAATATACACAGACCGCCACCCCTTGTCTTACCAGAGGCGGCTGTTCTATCTTGCCGATGCAGCGTAAACCCCGCCAGCTGTTTGTTATCCATGTCATCATTCAGCCACGACTCGGTGAAACATAAGATATTACAGTTTTTAATGTCCCGTTGGTAGGATATTCGTGATCGTAGCTCATCTATTTTGTTATCCAATGATTGTACGTTGGCTAATAGGAATGATGGTAGAGGCAGATTACCCATTCGCCATCGGATCCTTAAAAGGCACCCCGACCTACGTCGCCGATATCTCAGTCTCTTTTTTTTGGGCCTTGTCGGGTGTCTGAAGTAAATCCTTCGCGTCCAACTCGTTAAAGAAAAAATCTTCGTCCAGTACGAGGTGAGTAATCGCTGTCCTGATATCCAGAAGCTATTTTCGGTCATAAGAGACGGTGGCAGAAACATTGTGTACAAAATAAGTTACAAATAACGCAAAAAAACACACAATAGCACAATTGGTTAGGAGCCCGTAAAACGGCAGCTATCTCCTCTGGCGCCATTGTATGCCCCTGTTCTGCCCCTGCTAGGAATATATCTTACGTGAAACTGACCATTATAGGTATGGGAAACATTTTATGAGTTGCAGTGTACTAAATTCAATTCAAGAACATTGTATTAAAATAAATGTTGTGAGAGCACAAGATAATCTGTGAAGTGTGATAAAACTGAGGAGTCTATACCTGTGGCATCCCGAAATTACAGACGTGCTGGAGGTGTGAGCGGAACACAGACAGCTCACTCTCCATCCTCTCATACTGGCTCCACAATCTCTCCATTTCCTGTACCGAAAAGTAAACAAATATGTTTTAATTAGGGGTTAAGAATTTAAGTTTAGGTTCATAATATGGTCTTCCTGATATGGATATCAATTCGATTTTTCATTTAACACTAATATATCATACAATCATAAACAATTAGTAAAAAAAAAAAAAAAGTTACAGAGCCATTGGCATTGTTACAATGTCCCTTCCATTACACTGCAGAATGTATCCTTTTTGACAGAGCAAGTCATGGTTAATGATCCTATGTTATGCACCAATGAGACGTCACACATCCTTGCTCGGATAGTGACCAGTTCTTCCTGGAGCAAAGCCTTCTGGGTGAGCGCTCCTTCCTGTCCTTTGAGTCCTTCGCTCCTCCACTCATCCAGTTGCAGCCTGGTCATCTCTAAGGCGCGCTGGACACTGTACTATAAGAGAGGGAGAGATGGGAAGGGTGAAAAAGTTTGAACAATACAATGTACACCATTGTAAGATGGAAAAGGATTGGGAAAATGTTTTAATTGTAGAAGCTTCCAAAGGTTGAAGTTTGCGGTGCTACAAATGGAACATTTCACCAGATTAAGCCATTGACTGTACAGTAAATAGAGTCTAGGCAAAGTCTGTGTGAAGTGTTGAGTGAATAACACTATACATGAATGTTGTCTAGTAGAAAAATGACAACAATGTGAAGGCTATTGAAAGGAAACTGTAAGCTGAAGGTACTGACCTTGTCAACTTGTAGCTGGGCCAGCTCTAGAGAAAGAGACTGGAGAAGCTTGTCACACCCACACAGTCTAGTCAGCACAGCCTAACAGAATAAAAAAACACTGTTAAACAATCAAACACAGTTCAATTAGTGAAACAAATTTGATAGAAAACAGTGAAACAATAAGAAGGATATATTGGATAAGAAGGATAATAAGGACTACATTTCATTAAAGGGCACAAATACAAGCTCTTACATCTGCATCACTCTCAAAAGGTCTGATGGGTGGTGGAGTCTCTCTGTCTTTGAACAGCTCAGACTTGGCAGGCTGTAAGCAGAGAGTTCATGACAGCTCATGATCTAACCACTCTGATTTTCATACTGAATTTGATAAACTTCCTTCTATAACTCAAATGAAATCCCAAATCGCCCCTGGTATCACGAATGAGTTCTTTGTGAATAATGGAATGTATGCGTGTACATTAGAAAGAAAGGGTACTGAAACGCGCTCCAGACCAGCTTGAAAAAAATGGAATCAGGTGCTCGACTGAGAGACTTGAAAATCCTAAAACATTCCTTACCCCAGTACACTTCCTGGGCTAAGGAATCTTTTTGTATGTGTGTACATGTTTGTGTTTCGAATCAGTTTTCTTGAGTGAGTGTTACACAAAACACCTCAATATTTTTGAGACAAGATATATAAATATGTCTTTAAGTTAAATTATTATGATATGAGTTTGCCCATGAACTCTACAGTCGTTGATACATGCTTTATAGCGCATGAAAAAACAAAGAGGTTATATAGTTACTGTCATTATTCTACTTGGCGGAAAAGCAATTGTGTTGAAATATAACCTTTGACCTCAACATAGTGTAGTAGGCAGTTAATTTCATAATCATCAACATCACATTGATTTGAACATACGGAAGCTTCAACAGCCTCACGTTGCCAATACTGTAGCTACATGAAATAAACAACAACAGAAAACACATTATTGTCAAACAATGTATTTGAAAAACAGAGATTGAAAAACGTGACAAATGCAGAACACAAAGGCTATCGCTACACAAGACAATTTACAGTTATTGGACTCACTCGCCAGTGGCTAAACAACAAACAGGATGGACAAACAGACAGACATAACTGTAAACAGACAGACGTTGTGAGGAGTATGTGTTAGTAGTGTTTCCTTAAATATGTGGACGTCAAATGCCATTATATGAATAACTTATCAGTAGTGTAGTTACTATGTTACAAGTCTATGGTATATTGTAATCTGAAGTGCTACAGACAAAACACAATATTAAGACATAACAACATAAAAAGCTAGTCAAACACAGACCAAAGACAGACAGGTTGTACCATAAGTGTCGGTAGCAGACAGACAGACATATGGCTGTGATGGTGATGGTGGTGGTGGTGGTGGAGGTGAGGGGGGTGAGGAGCATGGGGAACTCTTGATGATGAGGGCAAAGGGGGCAATAAGTCTGTTTGCCCCCCTGTGGAGTAGCTCTGAAGAGAGAAACAGGGCAAAAAATATATACGATACAGTACGTAATTAAGAAAATATATGTATATATATACATATACAGTAAGAGTAAAAAGTTTGGACACACCTACTCATTCAAGGGTTTTTCTTTATTTTTACTATTTTCTACATTGTAGAATAATAGTGAAGACATCAAAACTATGAAATAACACATATGGAATCATGTAGTAATCAAAAAAAGTGTTAAACAAATCAAAATATATTTTATATTTAAGATTCTTCAAATAGCCACCCTTTGCCTTGATGACAGCTTTGCACACTCTTGGCATTCTCTCAACCAGCTTCATGAGGTAGTCACCTGGAAATCATTTCAATTAACAGGTGTGCCTTCTTAAAAGTTAATTTATGGAATTTCTTTCCTTCTTAATGTGTTTGAGCCAATCAGTTGTGTTGGGACAAGGTAGGGGGGTTTACAGAAAATAGCCCTATATGGTAAAAGGCCAAGTCCATATTATGGCAAGAACAGCTCAAAAAAGCAAAGAGAAATGACAGTCCATCATTACTTTAACACATGAAGGTCAGTCAATACGGAACATTTCAAGAAGTTTCTTCAAGTGCAGTCGCAAAAACCATCAAGCGCTATGATGAAACTGACTCTCATGAGGACCCCCACAGGAATGGAAGACCCAAAGTTTCCTCTGCTGCAGAGGATAAGTTCATTAGAGTTACCAGCCTCAGAAATTGCAGCCCAAATAGAGATCTAGTAACAGACACATCTCAAGATCAACTGTTCAGATGGGACTGTGTGAATCAGGCCTTCATGGTCGAATTGCTGCAAAGAAACCACTACTAGGACATCAATAAGAAGAAGAGACCTGGTTGTGTAAGGGCTATTTTACCAAGAAGAAGACTGATGGAGTGCTGCATCAGATGACCTGGCCTCCACAATCCCCCGACCTCAACACAATTGAGATGGTTTGGGATGAGTCAGACCGCAGAGTGAAGGAAAAGCAGTCAACAAGTGCTCAGCATATGTGGGAACTCCTTCAAGGCTGTTGGAAAAGCATTCCAGGTGAAGCTGGATGAGAGAATTTCAAGAGTGTGCAAAGCTCTCATCAAGGTAAAGGGTGTCTATTTGAAGAATCTCAAACATAAAATATATTTCGATTTTTGTTTTGTTTAACACTTTTTTGTTTACTACATGATTCCATATGTGTTATTTCATAGTTTTGATGTCTTCACTATTATTCTACAATGTAATAAATAGTAAAAATAATGAAAAACCCTTGAATGAGTAGGTGTGTCCAAACTTCGACTGGTACTGTACTTTCTATAATAAGCCATGTATGTTACTATATATACAGTGGGGAGAACAAGTATTTGATACACTGCCAATTTTGCAGGTTTTCCTACTTACAAAGCATGTAGAGGTCTGTAACTGTGAGAGACGGAATCTAAAACAAAAATCCAGAAAATCACATTGTATGATTTTTAAGTAATTAATTTGCATTTTATTGCATGACATAAGTATTTGATCACCTACCAACCAGTAAGAATTCCGGCTCTCACAGACCTGTTAGTTTTTATTTAAGAAGCGCTCCTGTTCTCCACTCAATACCTGTATTAACTGCACCTGTTTGAACTCGTTACCTGTATAAAAGACACCTGTCCACACACTCAATCAAACAGACTCCAACCTCTCCACAATGGCCAAGACCAGTGAGCTGTGTAAGGACATCAGGGATAACATTGTAGAGCTGCACAAGGCTGCGATGGGCTACAGGACAATAGGCAAGCAGCTTGGTGAGTTGGCAACAACTGTTGGCGCAATTATTAGAAAATGGAAGAAGTTCAAGATGACGGTCAATCACCCTCAGTCTGGGGCTCCATGCAAGATCTCACCTTGTGGGGCATCAATGATCATGAGGAAGGTGAGGGATCAGCCCATAACTACACGGCAGGACATGGTCAATGACCTGAAGAGAGCTGGGACCACATTCTCAAAGAAAACCATTAGTAACACACTACGCCGTCATGGATTAAAATCCTGCAGCACACGCAAGGTCCCCCTGCTCAAGCCAGCGCATGTCCAGGCCTGTCTGAAGTTTGCCAATGACCATCTGGATGATCCAGAGGAGGAATGGGAGAAGGTCATGTGGTCTGATGAGACAAAAATAGAGCTTTTTGGTCTAAACTCCACTCGCCGTGTTTGGAGGAAGAAGAAGGATGAGTACAACCCCAAGAACACCATCCCAACCGTGAAGCATGGAGGTGGAAACATCATTCTTTGGGGATGCTTTTCTGCAAAGGGGACAGGACGACTGCACCGTATTGAGGGGAGGATGGATGGGGCCATGTATCGCGAGATCTTGGCCAACAACCTCCTTCCCTCAGTAAGAGCATTGAAGATGGGACGTGGCTGGGTCTTCCAGCATGACAACAACCCGAAACACACAGCCAGGGCAACTAAGGAGTGGCTCCGTAAGAAGCATCTCAAGGTCCTGGAGTGGCCTAGCCAGTCTCCAGACCTGAACCCAATAGAACATCTTTGGAGGGAGCTGAAAGTCTGTATTGCCCAGCGACAGCCCCGAAACCTGAAGGATCTGGAGAAGGTCTGTATGGAGGAGTGGGCCAAAATCCCTGCTGCAGTGTGTGCAAACATGGGCAAGACCTACAGGAAACGTATGATCTCTGTAATTGCAAACAAAGGTTTCTGTACCAAATATTAAGTTCTGCGTTTCTGATGTATCAAATACTTATGTCATGCAATAAAATGCAAATTAATTACTTAAAAATCATACAATGTGATTTTCTGGATTTTTGTTTAAGATTCCGTCTCTCACAGTTGAAGTGTACCTATGATAAAAATTACAGACCTCTACATGCTTGTAAGTAGGAAAACCTGCAAAATCGGCAGTGTATCAAATACTTGTTCTCCCCACTGTATATATATAGTAACATACATGGCTTATTATTATAGAAAGTTCACATGATAATAATGATGGTCAGTTATACAATTATCTTCCTATAAATACACTATGATAAATGATCATGTTATTAAAAAGATATACAGTGCCTTCAGAAAGTATTCATACCCCTTGACTTATTCCACATTTTGTTGTGTTACAACTTGAATTAAAAAATGGATAAAACATTTTTACAAATCTTATCCATCTACACACAATACCCCATAATGACAAAGTGAAAACATGTTTTTAGACATTTAATTTAAGACAGAAATTTCTCATTTTACATACAGTGAGTATTCACATCCCTGAGTCAATACATGTCAGAATCACCTTTGGCAGCGATTACAGCTGTGAGTCTTTCTGGGTAAGTCTATAAGAGCTTTACACACCTGGATTGTACAATATTTCCACATTATTCTTTTTAACATTCTTCAAGCTCTGTCAAGTTGGTTGTTGATCATTGCTAGACAGCCATTTTCAAGTCTTACCATAGATTTTCAATCAGATTTAAGTCAAAACTGTAACTAGGCCACTCAGGAACATTCAATGTCATCTTGGTAAGCAACTCAAGTGTATATTTGGCCTTGTGTTTTAGGTTGTTGTCCTGCTGAAACGTGAATTTGTTGCCCAGTGTCTGTTGGAAAGCAGACTGAACCATGTATTCTTCTAGGATTTTGCCTGTGCTTAGCTCTATTCCGTTTATTTTGATCCTAAAAAACTCCCTAGTACTTGCAGATGACAAGCATACCCATAACATGATGCAGACACCACCTTCCTTGGAAATATGAGGAGTTGCACTCTGTGACGTGTTGGATTTGACCCAAACATAACGCTTTGTATTCAGGACATAAAGTTCATTACTTTGACACATTTTTTGCAGTTTTACTTTAGTGCCTTATTGCAACCAGGATGCATGTTTTGGAGTAATTGTATTCTGTACTGGCTGCCTTCTTTTCACTTTGTCATTTTGGTCAGTATTGTGGAGTAACTACAATGTTGTTGATCCATCCTCAGTTTTCTCCTATCACAGCCATTAAACTCTGTGACTGTTTTAAACTCAGCATTGGCCTCATGATGAAATCCCTAAGTGGTTTCCTTCTTCTCCGGCAACTGAGTTAGGAAAGACGCCTGTATCTTTGTAGTGACTGGATGTATTGATACACCATCCAAAGTGTAATTAATAACTTCACCATGCTCAAAGGGATATTCAATGTCTGTTAGTTTTTTTACCCATTTACCAATAGGTGCCCTTCTTTGCGAGGCATTGAAAACCTCCCTGGTCTTTGTGGTTGAATCTGTGCTTGAAATTCAATTCTAATAACATGATTCTTCTTTGACATTATAGGGTATTGTGTGTAGGCCAGTGTCACAAAATCTCAATTCAATCCAAGTTAAATTCAGGCTGTAAGACAACAAATGTGGAAATACGTGTGAATACTTTCTGAAGGCACTGTCGGTGTGTATTAACTTTCTGTGTACACAGTGTATGTTGTTTATTGATGTATACTATATACTGTATACATATATTATGTTCTGTTGTGCACATTCTGTGTATATTTACAGGGTACTGTACCTTTCCTAAAGCTTTTCGTCCACTTGAAAAATGGTGGAGGGAGGAGTATACAGGCGTGGGCTAGGGAAGAAAAGCAACATGAAGATTGAGATAATTAAAGAATCAAAAACCAAACCTTAATCCCAACCTTAATTAACTTCCTCTTTAATTATATTATGCTGTCTATGTTTTAGTTTTACCTTGTCACGATGACACACAATGACACACCACATACTCATGAATCCTTCTATTATAAAAGTATTTACCCAGCATCTACACATTTATAAGTATTGTGATAGAATAACAACACAAATAATTCATTGTTTCCTCCTCACACTGTTGATTGTTTGCCATCTCTCAGTCCCTGGAGTGTGGGGGGCGGACTTAAACTCCAGCTTGGGAGACGCAGGGGCGTAATGGGTCTCTGGCATAACGGGAGGATCATCCTGGGGTCGAATGTCAACCCGGCCCACTGGTGTGTGGGGTCGCGACCCCAATTGACCTCTGGCGGCTAAAGAACCTGTCCCAATAAATTCTATGGGCTTTGGTGGTGTGTTAAGACCAGAATGGAAGGGAAGGGGATCCTCGTCTGTCCGGTCTCTCCTTCTGCTGCTAAACTCTATTGGGCTGGATGTTTTGGGCGATGGGCTGAGTACACAAGAGAGAAAATAGCACAGAATGCCAAAGTCATCACCCCCCTTTACACAATTCACCCAAAATAACCGTATGACTTTCTAAATGTGTTTGGTGACAGAGACAGTGACAGATGGCAGATGTCTAGACACTGCTTCTGCCTACTACCTTTGTTGCATGCTCCGCCTCCCTCTCGGTTCGGAATGTGGTGTCTCTATTCTCCCCCCGGTGACCTGATTTGGTTCTCTCTGTGATCGGTTGGTGTGTGCCGCATTTTGGGAGAGACCATCTCGGAGAGAGGGGGAATGAGGGAGATCAACAGACTCACTGCTGCCACCTATCTGCATGAAGTCCTGATAACTCGAGCAACGCCTGAGAGGATCAGAAAAGGGAGGATAATACAACAGTAGAGAAAATGGTAGCATTATGACTGGATTAAAACCTCTTTATAACAAAATAAAATAAAATAATGTGTTAAAGAAAGTTTCTAATGAGTCCTATATTAATATTATTATTATTATTATTATTATTATTATTATTATTATTATTATTCGTTTTTGTATCATTATTATGAATCCTAATATTACTAGTATTATTAGTATAATTATTACTTAGGGAAATGCTAAGATGAAGAGTTGGGATATAGTGCTCTACCTGTTGATGGAGTTGTCTGCTTCCATACAGGCAGACTGACTGAGTGCTCTGACCCAGCCCAGCATGTCCTCCTGAGTGTCTGCACTGAAGAAGTAGGAGCGCATTCCCTTGTGCACCACCTTATATAATATGAATATATTATTTTACAGTATACACAGACACAGTATAAACACATACATGTACTAAACATACAGTCAACATAGTGGAAAGTGGAATGTATACTTTATGTTACTTACTTTGAAAGAATGTTTTCTGTTCTTGCACTCTCGCGGTGTGCAGAATAGAATGTTGTAGCTAGGTAGCGGGATGCTACCCAAAACAGATTCTTCTCTACTATCTAGAAGAGAAAGAGGATAGAGAAAAAGAGAGGCTAGAGAAAACGGCACTATTTATGTAAGGTACACACACAACGACATGATCAAATATTATTTGCTTGCCTTTGTAGTAGAACAGACAGTAGTTAGACAGGACAAACCATCTTCTTTTCCACAGTTTCAGCCCAGAGCTGTCCTACATGGGACAAAGCATTTATAAGAATTATAAGCATTACAATTCATAAGCATTTATGACATGTATAATCATGTATAAAGCAGTTATGAGCATTAATAAACATATACAAGCATTTATAAAGGCTTATTCGTGAGTTATAATAAAGTGTTTCTGAAAGTCCTACATCCACATTCAATACAAAGCCTGTTTAATGCTACTTCGCAGTGATCAAAACATAATATAGGACGTTATGCTTACTGAACAGTACCTTCTTATTGAGCCAACCCCTGATCACCACGGGGCAGTTGGGGTCTCTCTTAGCTGCCCTATATCTCTTCCCAAACGTGTGTACCCTGTCATCACCGTCCTGTAAGAGTTTGAAAGAGGATCATTGATAATGATGCTGATAAAATAACCTCAGTAAACGTTGATGTTCATGATGTTCGGTAGCGTCAATGAGCATTGAGGTTGTTAAACAGAGACTAAGCAAAGGGAGAGGTGGTTCAGGACAGGAGAGACAAACCTTGCTTCTGACAGGGAAAGAGGAGATTGTGACAACACTTGAGGCTTGGCTCATTCTGTCCTGATCCTCCATTCTGTGAGAAAGATACAGAGAGAGAAAAGAGGAGAAAAGATGAGATGAGGGTGAGGAGAGAAGATTAGGGAGGTAAGAAGAGAGTAACACATTATGAATACGCACCTCAGTGTCTGTATGAAAGATTTGCCATGTAAGAATAATAAGTTGATGTAAAAGAGTAAAGGTAGAGTATTGTTGGATCTAGGGACAAGAAGATGGATACTACATCTTCATATTAAGCTTATGATTGGTATTCAAAACTAGTGATGACGATCTGAACCATTTAAAATCATCTGCAAATACTTCGATCAGGAAATCAATCAGGACAAAAACTCATAAGGGACCTGTAGTGGGCCTTCTTGTGTAGACATGATGACCAATAGGGGCTCTCCTTTCTAAGCAAGACCTTGCATCTGGGCCAATAGGAGTCCTACTTCTTTATGTAGTCCTTTGTGTAGCCTGTTGTGCAATTGATCCACAATTGTGGAGTACAGCTAAATTAGGCTTATTTAGCGTGACCTGAACCATTATCGCTTTACTAAATGAAAAAAGGCAAACTGTGACGATAACAGCAAGAGGCACATAATGGCTTGTACTACACAGCTGTTGAGCAAATTGTCCTTGCTTGTCTACGAACAGTTGACAGCAATACCAACCAGAAGAAACCAAGCACAAACACTGGTAAGTAACAAATCAACAGCTACAGTCAATGGCATTAAAAAGCAATGAATCCCTTTGAAAACTGCCAATGTGGCATCAATGTGAGTCAGTAACAGTTATTCTAGTGTCAAAGTTGACTACAAAGTGTAAATAAGATAGTTTTGGTCATAGAGTCAGTCCCGTCTAAAACTGAGTTTGGAACATCCATGCATCACAATGGGTAAATGAAGGTTGGGTTTTCATTTGATGATGTCCAGTTGCCCACTAACATGGGGTGAACAGCTGCTGTGATTGCTCTCTATCCAATAGCATTGACAGTGAGACAGACCTGCTCAGCAGCTCTGACTGTTTACATAATATAACACGTCGCACATTTTTTTACTTGAGAAATTGTCATGAGCCTCTCACTCCACCGGGTTACCACCTTTATTTTCTTCCACTCTGCTCACCACTCTCTCTACTCAGCCTAACTAGCTCCACCTGTCCCTGCTCTGCTCTGCTCTAATTACTCTGCCAGCTGCGCTGCATTACCCACTACCTCTCCCAGTATTTAAGGCCCTGTCTTTCAGCTCTCCGGTGTCAGATCGTCTGCAAAGCTCACTCCCGGAACCTGTTTGCTCGCGCTTCTGGCTCACCCTGGTTTTGTGACCCCGGACCTGCCTGATTTTTGGATACTCTTCTGCCCCAGGAGATCCAGACCTGCTTCTGCCATTACGACTCCTGACTACTCTTCAATCCCGGTAACTCTGACCAGCCTTCTGCCTTGCTACTACGTATTTTGGATTTCCCTTGAACTGTACTGCTGCCTTGTTTCATTCCGCCCTGTTGTGTCTGTGTCTCCCCCCCCCAGGACTTCTGGACCACCCACCACCGGCTTCATAGGACGCATCGCTGCCACTGGGGGAGGCACAGACCCAGCACATTGGACGGGATCCCTGTTACCCCTGGAGCCTTCATTCACTCCCTACTTCCCTTTTCCCTTAAGTTTTAATAAACTTTCTGGTGTGACGCAATTGTGGTCCTCTGGTGTCGTCTGAACC